AATCAGGTGTGAGAGTCAGCGGCAAGAGTGAACACTCAAAGCGAAGATGGAATATCCCAGACGATGAAGACGCTTTACAAGTTCTCTTGCAGCCCGATTATGACTAGCACATCCAACGTCATGCATGATCCAGCGGGACTCATATGTTGACTATATTTTCCCCACATTGCCCACGACGGAAATTCGTCTGGCCACCATGATCACGTCAGGCGCTCCTAACTCTTATCCTTAGTGGATTGCACCACAGATAAATACCCAAGGAAGCACGCATTCTGAAAACACGAACCGTCAATTATAAAAAGTGGTAATGCGACCATCAAAACTGTTGTGCAGACTATCGCCCCAGGTAGCCACCATTTCTTCTTTGGTGTTTACGCACGCATCTTGAACTCAAATTGGGAGGCCGACATCCAGAACAGCCCTATCAAATGCAGGATTATTAACCACATTGCGTTTTGCTCGGCAATTAGCAGACGAGAGTCCTTGGTCTGTCAGTTCGAGTGGCGCAGGCAGGATGTGTAACACAGAGGTAGCTTTATAACAACCGTCTTGATGTAGAAATGCAGTTGCGATCGGCAAGTGCTTTGTGAAAGCACCGGTCAAGAATGGGAATGGGAACATTTCGATCTGGCGTAGTACGGACAGATGACTGTAAAACGAAATACCAAGCAGGGGAGTTGGCCCTGAACCAGCAAAGCATTATGGGTGTGGGCTTCTTCAAACCTGGGGATTAGATATCCGATGAACAGATCCTACGGCCAACTTCCACGTCTGAAATTGGTTCAACCACACTCCGGTTGAATGGCAGCGCCACACGACTTGGCCGGCTATCTACATGTCTTAGAGCAGATACAACCTTTGCATAGTTCCTTCCAGGACCCATGAAGCAAAGCAAACACTACATCTTTCTGCCTTGGGTTGTATGGTGTCTGGATGGCGAAAAACTTGTCTCGGTGGATCCGCTTTTGGTTGGTCGAGAAATGATTGGCCTGTTTAGAACTACTTCGGGAGGCAAGTCCCCACGTGTGTAAAGAAGTCTTGGGTGCTTGGCGGTCCAGAAGCAATAGGATTTGCCCCGGTGTCATGTTGCCATATTGCAACGGTCTAGAAAATTCCATGTCTACATAATGGGGTGAATTCCATTGAATTCCATGCGTGATGTGGTGCGATTCACGTTTCGTTTGAACCAGAAGCTATAGTTCTTAGAGTCTGACGAATGTGGAGCTGTTTGGTCGATGGTTTGGCCATATCGACTAGATGACAATTTGTTCAGCTGTGTTTTTTAGTTAAGCACACGTAGCCTGTTGATGACATTGAGAACCAAGGAGGTATTGCTTCACCCTCACTAGCAGCATAGTTTGCACGTCACAAGACATATAACTAATCAGCCAGGCGCAACAGTGACTGTGACTCTTGTTGAAACCAGCCGGCACAGGAATTCTTCACTCGGTCAAGCTAATCCGCATTGTACTTCATGGGACCTGACTGTCGGCGGTGTTGACCATGACCAATTTTCATCGGAAAAAGGATAGGGCACTCGGTGCACAACAACTGACCGTCCACGTTCTTACCAAAGCTTTATTGGACGTGAACTCAACAGTGGGCTACCAAGCCAGCTTTCGATATGCAAGATTTGCCACAACCCTCATATATGAGTCCAAAATTCTTCTATGCAGTAGTTGGAGGTAGCAGGTGGATTGTCCATTTCGCTATCGAAAGTAACCAGCAATTCGAAACCAAACAGGATGATTGACCACTTAGCTCACTCGGACTGACGTCCGGGCTACCCGGTTGGCACCTAAAGGACGTGGCTCAGCGCATCGAACACTTGCTTTTACTACCCTGGATACCACTACTAAATGTTACCAAAATTAGCGGCAAAACCGAGTACTACTAATCAGGATTGATAGTGCTCTCTTGCTACTACTACTATTACTAAGAAGTCGGATAAGTGAACAAAAATGCCACCAATCTTCGAATAAATAATCAATCGAACGCAACATAATTTGTCTCACCTGGTGTATCTACAAGAAAGAATGTGGCGATTCTCGTTTTTGACCCGCCCAAGTGATTCTGGATGAGTGTGAAGGTGTCCGTCTCCATGGTAATAGTTTCTCTGTCATGAATTGGACGTCCGCATACCAATCCAGGACATCCCAGAAGGTCCGTTTTGGAGTCAGTCTTTGGTTCATATTCCCCCGGCGGTAAACAAACTTGATTACTGGTACCAGTCTATTGAAATCTGGACACCTTAAAGATTGACCTCTAGTGATCCGCCTTGTAGTGACACCGATAGAATCTGAATAAACATAGATGAATTTGCTCACCCGTACTTTCTAAAGCTTTCTTCGTTTCGCATTTCAGAAAACACGGATCTGGCCTCCCTACCTTCGCAAGAGCTCACGGTAGGCGTTCTAGGACATTGGTCAAACTGGGGTTCTTGGTCCGCTTGCAACCAAGGATGTGTTCCTCCTGTTGGCGTCCTAGCTCCAGTTGCTGACAAACTGGATAAGACCCAATATTCCGTGCCACTTTATCTCCACGGAAACGTTCAGTCAAGGCAACGCAGCTGTTTGTTTGCGGAGACATCACGGTGCCCTGGTGGAGTGGCCCACTCAACAGAGACTAGGAGCTGTTCACCGGTCCCCGCGTGTCATACGGGCTGGTCGTGTTGGTCTATTTGGTCACCTTGTACAGGACCTGATAAAGTGCTGTCAAACTCAAAGAAGTGTGAATGGCGAGTAGGTGGTTGGCGAAAGCGTGTTCGTCAGTGTGTAGTAGGTCAAACCGACTGGCTTAATAACCGAGCAGCCCCGTGCCTAGGGGCTTTCGAAGAGTCTGTCAAGTGCCCCTTTTTGGTTGGCGATGAAACTGATTGCGTTAACCGTGAGTGTATTTTGTAAATGATGCAGCAACTTCGCAATTGAATAATTTGAATCTCGTAATCTGACTTAACTTTGAGGGAGGATATTATAGACCATTCAGCTCAGCGTCCTTTCTCGTGTTTTCAGGAAAGGCAGTGTACCGAGTGCCACCCCACTTAATATTCATGTTCATAAAAATGGGGATAACTTTCACAAAATATGCCTTTGGAAGGCAGTTCTATTTTGCATTTTTATACCTTGGGAACAATGATTAATTGATCACAACACAAATATAGATTGATTTAGGCACACAATCTAATGCGGGTAAACTTAACGTCGTTTTATTCACCCCGGCCAGATGCTGAACATTGTGGAGCATCTGAGTGATCTCAGGTGTGATGGATTTAATGAGCGTATAGACGGAATTGTATTCCAGTAACTGTATCCTACCTCCAAAGAAGTCTGTTTCCCTACAATCGAGGGTGCGTTCCAGAAGTTGAGGCGATTTCTAGCAGACTAGCCCTGAAGTCGGTACGGATAACCAGAACTTGATCCCTTTCATAGCATATTTTAGGCCGTGCCAGGTCCTGTACGTTTGGGGTGAATGTAGCATTAAATCTTTTTGCCCAAATTTCTCCAGGCCTATGAATTCAAAACACATTTCACGAGTTTCCTCTGCTATTGTATACGGTAACTTTGAGGCACTGAACACGCTAGCTATTGATCCGTTACTTTTTCTTCAAAGAAGATGGGGGTCTCCGCGTTTCGAAAGGCAATTTCCAGGAACACGTCAATAATTTGTCCTTGAATAAGGGTGAGTATTATCGCTGCTGGTAACAGTTTAGACCATCAAGCTGCCCTTTTATGTTTCAGGATACTTGAGAAGATGCTGTGTTGTGTGGATTTTTTTCTGGTCGTTCTTCAGTTTAAAATGGTGGAACATAACTATAACTGTCACTAAGCACTTGCTGAGCTCTGAATGTCTGATGTAAACAATTACAGAGATTTTCAGGCTCTGTAACCTACTTTGGATATTTTCACTTCATATGACCGTTGGAAACGAGTGTATATTTTGCCCACTATCGGTGTAATTTTGCACACTGTGGTGGAACTGTTCGAAAAACCATCGCATTGGTCATTCGATTTTCTGGTTTTTAGAGCCATATCGCACTTCGTAGTTATTTAAAAACAACGTCTAGAGGACTTACTCATCAGCGGTGCGTTTTATCCTTGAAGAAGCGTCTGATACCGTTCAGTTTAAGGCCATGAAACTTGTAAAGGTTCAGAGCAGGCCTTGGATAACATTCTTCAAAGATCGAGCAATCGATGTGTTCATATCAAACTACCAATTCTTTAGCTTAACCCCGCATTTTGTGATGTGAACTGTACTGGCAACATGATTCCTCTAATTTATTTGATGTCTTATTATTTCATGGTATACATCAGAAGCGATATTCAACTTGTAAGATCCTGCTAAATGTACTTAACTGGAGTACCTGAACGGAGGTAAGCAAACCAGCAACCTAGTCTAGATTTTAATTAACCACACCAGACATTGCGGACGTTTTTCGGTTTTTTTATCCAGTTCATTTTCTGGAAAGCTTAGCCTAAGAACGTGGCCATTTTACGTCTCCAAGTTGCTAGATTTTCTTATTATCCCTAAGTACGACGTCCTACTTGCTGCATTTTGTTGTGAAGAACAAAAAGCCGACAAACAGCAAGCGTCCATTTCTCCTACATTGAGATCTTGTGACTATCAGTAAATTAGTCTTTGGAAAAAAATAATGTTCTATCAACAGGATGTGACAAACAACGACTAGTGGAACGTATTTGCTGTTAGAGGTGATTATAGCCCCTGAACTATTGACCACACTTGCCCCAAAGAACAGATCAGCAGCCACATGATCAATTACCAGTGTGATTAGCTCTCACGTAGAAAGGACAGTGCCACTCGTCGTTTGATCGCCGAAACCACATCACGTAGTCACGTGTTGACCACTCGAGTGACAACTTCTCAGGACGAAGCCTCACACATCGTCTGAAATTATCCTACTTCTGAGCTACTTATCGAATGATGGTTTGGGCATTGTTCTATTCAAATGGGTAAAAATAATCTAGGGTTGGTCGTTCTTTCAGATGGACGTGCTACGTGGAGCGGTTGGTCACAATGGTCTTCGTGCCAATCGGAACTCTTGATGGAGGGCTTTGGTGTGAAAAATTATGAAGACCAGGAGACAAAAGAATACTACGAACCAGCGTACTTTCGTTCAAGGATACGACGATGTACATCGCCCCCAGGTCCGACTGGTATCCTGCCCGAATCGGTTGGTCTTGGAAGCTGTTTCGGGCCATGGAAACAGCAACAAACGTGTGCGTCCGGTGCACTACAGTTGGCCATAGGTAAGCCTCACTGACATGATTAGTTCGCTGGTTAAACTTAACCCAACACACTTTTCTCTGTTTGCAATCAAACAGATTAACACAGATATAATGGCCTGGCCAAGGTGTATGTCATTTGAGAGAGAAATAACAAATTGCTAGATTTTCAGGGCGTGCTGTCTTCAGGTCATGATCTTTCCTCTCTCCTACAGAAAAAGTAAAGCATAAGGCAAGCCTTATTTCCACTTTTTTCGTGGATTTGTTTAAGGTAAAACCAGTTCGCAAGCTCTTCTGTATATTACTGAAGCTGTAGTGAAATGCCCAGCTTCAGGATAAGCCTTGGGAAGAGGTCATAGTGATGTTTACCTCTTTCGTTTCCTCATACAGACGGTGTTTCTCTTCAGTTTGACAACGGCAAGACAGCGAAATCACGTGGAATACATGTTTATCATTATAGTGACTCGGAAGTTCCCACAAGTTATTGGAGCCAGGTGTTTTGGCTGGCAGTGTTGGATTACATGGATCCTGAAATAATGCTCGCTCAGTATCCACAAACCTCCAGGGGTTCCGGTATTTTGAGTATTCAGTATTGATGGGCTCTTACGTGTAACTATGGAGGAATATTTAAGACGACTAAATTAAACGATTGAGCATAGACAGCATTTACCAAGACGCCCCATTTTAGAAAGTGCATCACTAGGATTTGACCATTCTGAACTTTAGGTGTACTTACGAAGAGTAGAATGATTGATTATAGGGTTAGAAGATTCGGTAATTTCAATGTGAGAGTTCGTCCTGCCAGTGTATCCAATCTCTTTGTACTATTATTAATCTACAGGTAGCTTAGAGAATGAATGTTTTCAGTTAGACCTAATCGCACTGCTGTTCACCCGTTTATGGCCGAATGACTAGGTGTTCAAACAATCGAACAAGCCATCACGGGTTTGAGACTCCCTGAGATTTCGTGAATCGTGCTTGGAATCCCAATAGGGATGAAGCAGCTGTATAGCGCTTTTCCGCTTTTGAACATAGATCGGCTTGACTTACAAGACGAAATTTCAGTTGGAAGGAGAAAGTTACCTGTTCACGGTTTGCGTGCACTACAGTTAGTCAGGAAAAGAAGATTCAGCAGAACAAACTATCATTGCCATCTCACAGTCAGATCTCCGGTAAAGCTTTCCAATTGAATACTTATATGAAGAGAATTGCTAAAGCATTCCTTCTAATCAAATTTGCACACACCTCACGGTGGATCAAGCCTCTACCGGAACTGCCTTCATTCTTAATTAGTCGGAATATGATTTAATTCTACGACAGAAGTGCCGCACAGACCTAAATAGGACCTTTCTTAGTTTACAGGGTTTTTGAAGGTGACAGCGCATTCATTCGTAGACTGATTCATTTGAAATCGGCCTGCCAACTTAAACGGGAGTTTAATCGTTTTCAACACAACTTGTTGCTTCTTCAGTGTTCTGTCGCAGGTTTTTGAGTTGACCGTTTATCCATATTTTCTGTCTTTTCAGCGAAGACCATTTCAAAGAACAACGATGACAAATTCACTGGACTCCAGCTTTTTTTGGTTGGGCTGATCTCCTTCATACTGACATCCGCAATTACTGGAATTTCTTTGCTAATTTACCATTGTTTATGGGCCAAACAGGGGAAAATGAAACCCAAAACACCGAGGACGGGTTATTACTACAATGAGACTTCTGAAGGCAATGAAGTGGATGAGCAGACAGGTCCACTTATGCCAAATCCAAACCTGTTTGGTGTCACCACCAAATATGTGCCAAGTGAACCCTCAGCGATGCCGTTCATAGGACCCCCGAAACCAATTCTGTCCTTACCACCCAGTGTGAAATCGGACATTCTGAACACTGGAATCAAACGACCGCATTCAAAACGTGGACATGCTAGTAATGTTATCTACGACTCAGTAGCATCTCAAGACTTACCAACATTCTTCAGTTATCCAGATGGAACGTACCTAACGGAAAACTACGCTGAAAACACATTAGACCAAGGTATGTCTTACCTTCAAGATCAGTCTCAACCAGGTGACCGTAGCTACTGGAGCTTGCCAAAAGCGAAAAAAAGAATACCGCCAGCTGTGACGGAACAAGATGAGCAGGCGGATGAGTCGGATGAGTCAAATGATCGAGACCACACGAACTCTCAATCTTTGGACGGTCGAAAATGGCCGAATCCAGTAAAAAGTGGACAACCATTCTGTGTGCGAAAAGATTCTATGAGCGTGCAAACCACTGGTGAACACGTAGAGCATCCATCGGCCAATCATTACATGGACTATCACAAACAAAACTTGCCTTCTGTTCGGCCTGATTATGATAGAAACACTATTGGCTCGGAAGTGGACCGTTTTACCAAAGGTCCGGAAACCGTTAATGGAGAAGATCATTCCTCACGTCTTTCCAATTCCAGTTCAAGGTTTACGACGAATTCGCGACTTGAGGACATCAATCGTTTGAGCTGTAGCTCTACTTTTACCGATGGTCCCGCAAGGAAGCGAACTTCGAGTCCCCCAAGTGTCATTCCACCAGAGATGCCTGTATTGTCTCTTCGGTATGCTGATACCTCATGCAACAGAAGGCAGAACAATCCATCCAATGATTCCTCTATTGACTGGAACCTTGGAAATGGATCCACACGAAGTGAGTTATATTCCGTATGCCTCGATCGACCGTCGAATCCGCACTTGCGTGAACCCTCCGGACATAGCTCAACTCCGTCTGACAGAGAGCTTAACCCCAACAATCGTTGATGCCTCCGTGATTATGTTTGGCAGCACTAGCTATGCTGTCTCTCATAAACAGACAACTCCTCATTCCCTGTATCTGCCTGACAATACCCGTTTTTCTCCTATGTTACATGCAAACTTTGTAGAATAAATATGCTGATATCGCTTCATAGTGCATATCGGTGTGATAAAAATCGGTCTTTTAGGATCATTTTGTCTGAATAAACCTTTTTGTTAAAATGAAAATGCTGCCTAGCAATAAACACATTGATTGCTGTTCGAATTTTGATGAAACTGGGTTCTATATTCGCGACGAATACCAAAAATATACAAGTAACGTAGCTCCCCACTCTTATCCATCTATCGTTCGGCGAATCGGTAACGAGCCAATTAGAAAGCGAGTTTTCGGTTTTGCAACGCGGACTTCCATCAAAGGATGTTCGTTCGGCGATCGGTAACGAGCCAATTAGAAAGCGAGTTTTCGGTTTTGCAACGCGGACTTCCATCAAAGGATGTGTTTAGGGCCAGAAGCCGTGTTGGTTTCGCCATTTATTGTGCATGCCGTACCATTGTTTGGAGAAGACCGTACTGTTTACCGTGTCCACTTCAGAGTGGCGCAAACAGAGTGGTGACCAACCTTTGAACTGACAGAGGGGTGCTGTTGATGGGACTCGCATTCCAGGATGGGGACCTTCCGATCCCCACAAAGCCTGGTTAGAGACGCTACAGAATATGGTTGGTAATCGATATTCCTAGATTTTTGCTGACAATTTATATCCAGATTGCCTAAATGGCGCCTGCAAGCAACTCGGAATGAATGTGGTAGGCTTGTATTAAGTTCATTCCCTGTCCATTATTATTATTTCCTTCACAATAATGCTTTCAAATAAATCATGGTTGTACCGCGGCGAAGAATTACAGTTGAACACTGATGTTATGCTGTCGATGATGATAATAATAATAATAATAATATAATGATAATGATAATGGAGGTGAGATATACAGCACTGACAGGTAACCGACAAGGTGAAAACATTGAAGAGAGCATGTAGGGTACAATGAGATAGGACCGAGGTGACATCATTCCCGTGGTAAATATCTGCATTATCCCCATTTTATTCGGCAGTTCTCCGCTTGATTTGACTCTTCTGGTGGTTCAGGTTGTCACGCAATCAGAGCCAGCCGTCAACACTAGAAGTATGGGAGGCCAAATCTTGTGGGAAAGTACCCCCATTTTATTCGGCAGTTCTCTGCTTGATATGACTCTTCTGGTGGTTCAACTTGTCACGCGATCAGAGCCAGCCGTCAACACTGGAAGTATGGGAGGCCAAATCTTGTGGGAAATTATGAGGTGGTACGCCAATTGATAGGGAACAAATTTATAGAAAATGTCCATCTTGAGTATCCCTCAAAGACGTTGAGTGTTATCTCTTGACAGCTTCCTAGGGGAAATACATCCTCTCGACGAAATGCAACCATCCAAAGAATCCGCTATCGTCCAAGCATAAACATGCTTTATTTTCTCTGCAAACATTATCTGAGTTAACAGTATAAAGGGTGAGCGTTACCTGCAAGGCCGTTGTTACAGAATATCGGACACAAAAATGATGAACTCTTTTGCATGAAACCTGAGAATTTTGACTGTTCCTGATCCTTCACCAGATGTTTGACACCAAACAAAGAGCGCATTCGAACAGATCATTCATCTTCAGACCAGTAGTTAGTTACATATTTGTAACGTACTACTCATAAGTAGTTAGTTAATTCCAGGAGTAGATTTTCAAACTATTGTTTCACAAGGCAACTTTCCTGCCTAGTACACACCGTCCTGATGATACGTATACGGATATGAAAAATCTCAGTCTGACACATGGATGAGGGTATCCTACCCAAACGAATCGGCATACATGGTGATTCATCACGCCACAACAGTATACTGAAAAACTCATCTTTTGGGTATCTTATGAGATCCTCGAAAAGCGCAACGTCCCACCGCCCCATAATTCTGCAGACGATAATACTACCAAAGAAAACGTCTGGTTTCTCCACTTTTACCAAGTGTTGATTGCAGTGGGTCATGCATCCATCCTCCAGAGTAGTTTGTTTTTGCAAAACTCAAGACAATAGCTCATTGAATGTCCATCGGCATTTTGAGAAAACCCGATTTCGCGTATTTTGATTTACGAACAGGACTTTTTTAATCATGTGAGGAAGCTTTCTGTCAAAGAAAGACAATTAGTGCATTTTTTGCACTTAATGCCTCTTGAGCAGTTTTAAAACACCTCTGAATCGATGGATTACATGACTGGTAAGAATCAGCATAAATGACGGAATGCCAACTGAACTAGAATGTATCAAGTGATATATATTCTGCTAAACCTTTAGCAACGCACTCTGAACCGAGACTATTTAGATATCAGAAATCACCCTTATGATTTATACAGCCAATAGCCACTGAATCCTACATCTGCACCGTCAGAGGTTTGGCAACCAACGAAGGTTGGCTACGACGTGATGTCATGGTGCTAATTTTTCGCTGACGCTTATTTCGAGGCTTTCTTCACAAGCTGGAGTAAACTAGCCTACTCTCCCTGTGCACGTAACACAGCCACCACACTCAAATCAATACCGACCTAAGCAGCAGTACAGTGCTCTGACAGGGCACCGCACTAATGCGTTTAGCTAAAAAGCAAACTAGTGCTATTGTTACTCTCTGTCCTAAATGGGCGATGTTTTTGCCTTGGAAAATCAATATAAGTAGTAATGGTTCGTTACTTGGCCTGTACGTTTCTATTCAGCTGCTTGACTCTGGGCTAAAATACGTTTTGCAAGAAAGCCTGTTTTCGGGTTTATTGAATGCAAATGTTTCACTACCCCCCACCAGATATTTTCATCGAGGCTTATGTGTAGGCAGCGAGCCAATTTCTACAGAATTAGTCCGTTGACTATTTGCCTGACGGTAAATTACTACTTCACGAATACATTGCGAAATATCTTTCTAAAAATATATCTAGGAGCCTTGGGGCATTCTCGAACGCTTAATTGAAGAACATCTAAAGAGAATCTATAGAAAGAATTATTCTATTTTGACATTCACATCACAGACACAAGTTTCAGAGACGCAATCAGCTCGAATCTGGTTAAACAGACTGGGCGACATGTGGTATGTGAAGATAAAAAGTCTAAAGTCAAAATACAATGCAGTGGAATAAGCTGTTATAATCCGATTTTTGGTTGCTGTGAGCAAAATTTCCAAGGCTTTCTACAATCAGCGAAAGTCCATTGATTGCAGAAATTCTTGAAAAAGGTTACTCACGACAAACGAAGCATCTGCCTATGACGCTCTATCCAGCTACGCTGTGTTGTTACTTTAAACTTCTCATATTGCACAGTCATTTTTCAGAATTTACACTGTCTGAAACGCCCAGTGCAGTTTAGGATGTTACAGCAGAAACTAAGACGACAGTTCTTTTTAGTCTGATTGTACTGTTCTGATGAAATCACTGCGAAAACCAGAAAAGCGTAAATCATACTCAACAATTCGTGTCGCTGGGTCTAAAGAGTAACGATTAATGGGGTTGTTTTGTTATAATTTTGAGACACTCAGTCCCTGAGAGCTGGTGATCCCAGGAGTTGGAACACCGATGCCTGGAAAAGGCTGCTTAGTTAAAATGGTATCGATGCATCAGTAGAGTTAATTGGAAAACCGGTGTGGCCCTACTATAGGTTATTTAGCATCAATCATTTATTACTATCAGCTGCAGTGGCTCAGCCATGTGCTACATATGCCGAATCGCCGTCCAGCAAGAGCTTTGTTCTTCTCATTGACCCCTTTAGAATGACCTACACTTCGTACTGTACTACGTGTTACTTGGTGAGAGAGCGTGAGGAGGGTAGGAGAATTTTTACGCTGTTGATGTGGTTCACATTCCAGGACGGAGTTTCGGTTGCCCTCCCTGGGTCTGGCCATAAGCAATTAAATGATATCAGATGAACTGCCAACTGTCCAGGTGGCAGGCGCCTAGGAATGATTGCATTAATTCTCTTTTCTGTCGATTCTTTTTCGTTCCCAATTTAAAGCCTCATAGATAAGTGAACCACAGTGTCAACATGATAATAATACTTATGGTAGGTATGTCGTTCCGTATGGCAGAACTCGTCAGGGTACTGTCAGCACGACATTCATTTCTGAGTGGAGATATTGTAGCAAATTTTAATGCGTTAGTTGTGGCAAACCCGGAATTTACTGATACGATATAGATTTTCTCCATGTCCAAGAATAACATCTAGAATGCTTACCGAACTTAACTGCTGCCTAACACCCACAAATGACGGTCCACAAATACTGATGACGTTGAAGTACCAGAAGACTTCTAGAGAACCATCACTCAGTGTTGCGCTCAAATCTGTTACGGTCAAAACTACTGAAAAAACATGGACTTTCGTTGAATGCTGATATAAGAATTCTATCCATGTCCGGCTTCTTGTTTTTTTTAATCAGAACGTAACCTTCCATGCAGAATAATTCAAAATCATAAGAAAATGTTCATAATTTGTCAGTCAATTAAACACTGCATTAAGGACTCTGTGACCAAAGGTGCTACGATTCTAAATGGAGCAATCCAAATATGATCCGTCAGAAAATTGAAATAGCTCTCGTTTTCACCTTAGATTCAAAAGTGAAGGAAATTTTCCAGGTTTAGTCGAATCTCAAGGGTGTCCTCACTTTTGTGGCTTCTATGCATATTGACACCATATTTTCAACAAATGGCAGATGCCATATTTTCCCAGTTAGTCGAAAGAACACGTAAAAGTGTAATTTTTTCTGCAATAAATAGGAAATAAATGGGTTCGGGCTTCTTGTTTTTTTAATCAGAACGTAACCTTCCATGCAGAATAATTCAAAATCATAAGAAAATGTTCATAATTTGTCAGTCAATTAAACACTGCATTAAGGACTCTGTGACCAAAGGTGCTACGATTCTAAATGGAGCAACCCAAATATGATCCGTCAGAAAATTGAAATAGCTCTCGTTTTCACCTTAGATTCAAAAGTGAAGGAAATTTTCCAGGTTTAGTCGAATCTCAAGGGTGTCCTCACTTTTGTGGCTTCTATGCATATTGACACCATATTTTCAACAAATGGCAGATGCCATATTTTCCCAGTTAGTCGAAAGAACACGTAAAAGTGTAATTTTTTCTGCAATAAATAGGAAATAAATGGGTTCGGTACACATCCGAATGACTCGATACGATGTGCTTTG